CCGCTATCCACCTCCACCGCATAAGGTGCTGGAATCCTCTCTCACTCGACTTTCCGACCTGAATTGTAAGGCTCGTTTGAGCTCCGTACATCCCTGATGCTGTAAGCTAATCAGGGGCTGCGACGGGTTGACAGTCCCTTCATCACTGGATCCTGATCATGGAAGTTGTATGAACTCGTGTGATCCTGAATAACTGGGCCCTGACTTGACCTTAAGTTGGCCTAGCTGCGGTAGACTAAGGGTGTCCAATATTCGTTATAGTACTCCTTCAAAGGCTACACTGCACGGAGATGTGCAGTAGTAGTTATCTTCTGGGTGTTTGGTGTTGATGCAGGTTCACATCTTCACACTCTCGTGGGAACTAGTTTAGAAGGTCAGAGCTCATGATGCTGTTAAGAGAATCCAGAAGAAGTAAATCTCACTATACTATTCCCATCAGTGCATATTGTCCTAGGAATCACGAGTGCAATGGTGAAATTGTGTCCTCCCCGATTCACTCACTCACAAGCACACGTGAAGACGGTGTCCGGCTTGCTTTTCTGGAAAGCTGGTCCAGTACAGTGGACAGCTTTCCTTGCCTTACTGCAGTCTTAATATTTCTTCGGCTGTTCCTCTGATATAGTAAGATGGAGTGATTTCTCACTCTTCAGAAGTCGCCAACTCCCTAGTGATGATGCACTCTCAGGAGGCCTAAAAGAGTGCCGTCTGATCAGCCGCTTCTTACAAGCATGCTAACTATAAGCGAAGCTCAACCTCAGGGTCCGTGACTGTAATGGGCCTGTTTCTTAAACTTATTCTTGTGGCGTATTTTCGGCCTGGAACTTTACAAGCTCTGACACGCACTTCATCCCCATGCATTGGTCTGCTGTGGAGGCAAAGTGGGATGGACCTGTGACATAAAAAGTCTGATGGTATCTTTACCTCTTGCTCAGGCTCATGTAGTATGTTCAAGCCTCTTGTCTCTCGTTGGCCAGATTTCACTAAAATAATACTTCACACAGGTTTTCAGGGGGGCATTGAACGATGAACCCGAACTTCCGATGATCACGAAGGCGCTCTCTGCTGCACTGGACGAGCCGAACAGCCATTTAAAGGTTTAAAGTCCGCGGAGCCCACTTTCAACCTCCTCCTGGCTTCCTGAGATAGGCCTGCACTGTCAGTTACGCCTTTCTTGAGTCCGACCCAGCTTCTGGAAGGTCCTGCAACGGGAATCTATGATTATGTCCTTCATAAAGTAGTCTGAATCTTACAACCTTGTATATGTGTGAGCCATCTAACCTCGAGAAATGAAATCGTCGATAAGATCTAGCCTTGTCGATTTGGAAAGAAAGCTTCTCCTCTCAGAGAAGCAACACGCCACAAACTTTGCAGAAAACCATGGTATGTGGTAGTCAGTGGAGGCCGAAGCTCTTGAAATTGCGAAGATAAAGTGCATGGTTCGCAGCTTTTGAAGGGGTAGAGCCTGTTGCACGGGCTTATCCGGCCAGATCCTAAAGTGTCGTGTGGAGCTCCGAGTCCGAACTTCGGTCACGATTTCCATCACAACCAGAGAAGACAACAACGAACGAGCAAGTCAGTCGTCGCTCTTACCGTCATTTCTCTGATGTCATTGTTTCTTCACCTACCCGGGGCGGCCTGCCTGTACACGTACCCTAAACTACCCGTAGGAGCCAGGACTCTTCAATGAAATTCAATCCATTCTCTGTTACTATTATCTTGCCTTCGCAGGGACATCAAGACCATGCTCCACAGGCTTTCGCTTTTCGCGGTGCCGGGTAGTTTTTGGGCCGCTCTGTTCTGTAATTCCGCACGAGAACCACCTCCATGCTAGATACGCTACGTGTGATGGCTGGAGGACACGAGGAGTAAGCTCATTGGTAATGTAGATTCCAGAATGAAAGATGAATACGTGGAACTTTGCGCAACTCCATGTCAAAAAAGATGTCAAGACCGAATCGAGCATTACGAGGATTAAAAGAAACCTGTAACGAAGGGCTATGCGCCAATGATTTATCGCAATTTGGAATATGTCATATAACACCTAATATGAAAAGCAGCGGTAAGCAAAGCGAGTCCCCAATAGTATCATAATGTGCAACATCTACAACATATGCCTAAGATTTATGGACTTTCTATGTCAGATTGCATACAAACAACGTAGTGCTTTCTCTCGAGCAATAGAGACTTCTTGTTAAAAAATGCTACAAAACGGGCTAGAAAATTGTTACGTGTGTCGCTAGCTACGTAGACTTTGGGCATCTTAGAAAATAACTTCCTTGATCATTACCTAGTCAAGGAATACCTACCCTTTACTTTGACCCCAATCGACTAGGCTAGAATCCATAGTCAACCTCAAAGTCGTATCAGTACTTTATTACGTTAGCTATCCAACCTCACGTGTCATTGTAAGCACCCTTACTGATAAAATCCATTACAGCTATCATAGAATGTTGAATGTCATGTACACACTTGTTAAAATTCAAAAGTCTATCACGCTCACGTAGGAGTAAATGTGGTACAATTGAAACGGTAATCCACGTTTCAAGCCAAGGTGAGATCTTATTGTTACAAATAAATTTAATAATGTAAATCAAAAAGTTTTAATGCACAATCAAACGAATCCACGGACTTGAAATCTTGCCAAGCAAAAGTCAAAATATGCCGTAGATGGATCCCCTAAATGTAAATGTGAAAGTTGAGTATGCTGAAATTGTTGTCCATCAAGTTAAATAGTAATAGATAACAGTTAAATAGCTGTTTTAGAATGTGCAAATATGGGAGAAAGTTTACTTCTATTGAACATTTAACAACTTTGATTATCAACGTTTTGGGATGGAGCTATATAATCAAGTGATGAAAGTTATTTTTTATATGTTCAAGAATACTTACAGGATTGTGTATCATTTATTGAAAATGGGAACAAACGACCTTGCAAGGTAAACCTTGTATAGAAGTAAATTATCATTTTCTCAACAATATATATATATATATATATATATATATATATTTATATATATATTTACCATAAAATCTACTTGTCAAGATTTAGTGACAAACTGTAGAAAATTACACTCTTCTCTTGCAGAAAGTCATGAGAACTAAAAAATGAAAAAATGTGAACCGGAAATCAAATACAAAAGGAATCAGAATCATTTTTAAAATATTTATAAAAAATCCAACTGCAAGAGAATTCACTCCAGAGAGATCCCTAAAAGTGCTCCGGTTCTCAACGATACTGCCGATAAATCTGCTCCAAGTGTAACAGCTCCAAACTAGTATCGAAAACTGGTATCTACCAAATCTTCCCACACATCTTCAGTCCTATAATCTCAATGATACAACTAGAAAAGAAAACAATATTGAAGTAATATGTGAAACTATAAAGCTAATAGTATCTCCCAAATTAAATTAATTTTTTTGCCCGTTTTCCTTCGTTAAAAGCAAAACAGCACATGTCTACTCATGTGGGTGACATGAATTTCCAAGATCCTGATATATAATAGGTGACAAGCCCTCGAAAGATTGATTTGGGTACAGAATTACGCAATATAAGTCTCTTCCGCTCCGAGAACTTGGTATGATGAAACGCACGCACCTTGGATCTAGCTAGGATCTATAGAACAGTGACACGAATCAATGTTTAGGATATAAATTTGACCGCTGTTTCCATCAAGTGACATCAGTGGACTTCCCAGTTCTACTGGAATGTCGGTGACTGCGAAGCCTGACGGTCAGGGTCGGCAAGTGGGCTGAGAACAGAAAACCAGGATGCTTTGATTCGCACTAACTGCGGTTGCAAATGGGCGACGACTTCCTCAAACTGCGGTTGCACATAGGATCTCCAGATGAAGGGACGTTCTTTCTTTTGACTGCATCGTGAGATACAGCCAGGGACGACACTGTGCACTGTATTCATCAGAAGGAAGAATAAAGGCTTAGAGTTTATCTGGAAAAAAACATGTCTGGCATCTACGACTTCTATCCTTATCGACATCTTTTAAACTACATATGATCGTTTCCGTCCAAAAAAATAATTAGCGGTTTTCCTAACATGAAAAACATGAGGAGGTGGATCACTTCCTTTTACTTTCTGCTTTTGTAACTTACCTGTGGAGGTTTTACTCATTCTTTCATCTGAATAGTGTAAGGATGCTAATCTTCTGTTCACGTTTTTTAAATCATGTAGACTCCAGATGATTCAGTGTCGTAGTTATCCACGGCTGAAATGATTGAAGGATCAAGATGGATCTTGTTCAGTCTTGCCTACAGCAAGACTTTCTGTGTCCTCTACTGCTTATGACCTCTTATGTTGTCGGTAAAACTTCCTCACACATTCAATGAATACCATGTGGCTAGAGCAGGTGTGACAACAAACACCTCTTACTATGATAAATTTTAAGAAAATAAACTAAAAAGGCCCAACAGATGAGCGCTGCTCCTCAAAACATATCTGTAGTATCAGTCTTCACGTCTTTTGCCTTCTGTAGATCACAAAGTTTATGATGTAAGAATTCATCATATAGACCGGTCTTGCATCAACTGAAGTTATTGAGCTTGTCAATAACATCAAACTTTTGCATCACCTCCCTGACTTTTGAACCTGCACTCTAACTAACAGGACTACGTGGACGCCTCTAACTTGACAACAAGGTATAGAGGCTATTCGCACATTTCTTGTTCCGATTCGTGATCAGGTGAAGCTACATACAATCGCATTCTCGAAAGCTGTGAAAGACTGTGTTCTTCAAGCTTGCGAGCAATTTTGATCAAAAGATTTCCTTTTCCTGCACTGCAAGGGTGTTGCCTACCACAATATTCGACATTGCTGGCCCGGCTTGCCTGAAACGTAGGTGCGGCAACGCTTCACGAGGGTTACAGCCCTGAACATGCCTTACACGAGGAGGCCGTCCAACACATTCTAGAGTTCACGTTACCAGCCAGGGGAGTGAAACAACAGTAACTCGACCCAACAGCTTATGCAAGACGTCTTGTCCTTGAGTGGTCAAGAGCATGTAAATTTGCGTGCGAATCACCTTGCAAAATTTGATCCTCTTTGGCCTTCCTGTCAGCTGGGTCAAGGTGTGGAGCTCACCTTAACCATCTCGGCCAACTTCTGCAGTTCGGAAAGTCTCATCGAAATAGATGGACCAGTATTCACTTCTCATGTTGACCTGACATGACACTACTGTTGTGACATAGTTACAGAAATGTGGTGTAGCTGTCCCATGTGCGGGTGTCGCCTCCTATGAACATAGAAGGCCAGTCTGAACTACGCTAATACTGTAACATTGTTAGACCATCGGCTCCTTAAAGCGTTTGGGACCTTCAAGCTAAGATCTAGAAAACCGAGATGCCTGCTTACCTGCCTTTTGTTATCCGCCACTTCTTTCCAACCTCAACTTGGAACTAGACGCAGGGAGGAATTCTTGTTACTACAGAGCTAGCTCCGCACACACTGTACGGTGGGGTTAGCAACTGGAGCTCCAAAGACCGTCGGACTCAGGAGGCACCCGTTATCCATCCCCTCCTGTTGAGCACCGACAGCAGATGTCCATAAATGTTTGCAACAGTATTTAACGCTCTCTGCTACTGGAGCGGTCTATATCATTCCTTGGAGCTGGAAGAAGGCGATTCGAGTTAAGCCAAAGGTCCACCGAGTTTACTCGAATAAGTACAACATATGTGGACACGGTTCGACGGCCTTCAAACCTTAGACGAGTTTACCCGCTCACTGAGAAGATGACAGATCCGTGAAGACGGGTCAGAGATCAAGATGTGGACCAGATGCGTGAACCTTCAGCCTGGGCCGCTCGGTCGCACAGTAAATCATGTCCTATGCGGAAGACGAAGTGCTAATGTGGCTATCCAGTGCTGCTACTGGGTCTAGTCCCATGTTACCCGTTGGAATTCATCCATTTACGGGGTCGTCTCATCCTTTATTGTATTTTACTTGACTTTTGTTTATCTCCACTGCGTTGGCTATGTTCTGAGAGCATCGTGCTCATACAAGTGGAGGAGAGGACCCAAAGTCGTCCTGAGCTGATCTAGTCCTGTCAGAGGGGATGTACTTGACCTGATTTAGAGAGACATTCCTTGTCGTGAGTAACCAGAAAAATTCCCACATGTTCCACTAAGCGCAACGTGTTGGCTACATAAACTGCAAGAAGCTCTCGCTGAAGACAGATGAACGTGCGCTTTTAGATTCTGTTACCAGTATCCAAACCTCAAGGAAGAAAGCCTGTCAGTGGCGCTCCGATCCCGTGAGATTGCCAAAATCTCCTCCACTATACACCCTTATCCAAAGGGTAAGCTAGTAGAGTCACTAAAAAGGGTAGGAAGACGCTGAAAGGTAAGTAAGTTTGGGCCGCCTTTGTGGTTATCGGTACTTAGATGGCTGAAAGGTTGACATTCGGAGCGCGCAATGATCGAATATATAATCAAGGTGTACTTACGTGCAACTATTCATCCACACTGCATTTGGGGGCAAAGCTTGTTCTCCAGCACAGCGAAATAACCAAAAGGATTTGAATGCCCCATGAAGTTCTGCATGGACGGTGAAACCAAACTGATTCAATTAGGCTTGGCCCAAGGTGCATCACAACGGAAAAGATGTTTGCACATAAAACCACACTGGATTCCTAAGGCCATGCTCCGTTCATCATCCCGAAAATATGTCTGCAACTAAACTATGTAATGTCAAACTATATACACATACATGAGTATCCAAAGAAATATTATGCGGTTGTACTAATTTGATTGTATGAGCTAGTGATTTTGTAGATAAATGTTAAAAATGCTTAAATTAAGCTATATAATAAGCTAAAGAGACGAATACTGTGAAGTATGGCTAGGTATTGCACAATATTATAATTTCGAAATGGGAGTCTATAATTCCATAAAACTTTCGATCTAAAGTAATATAGAGTCGATCTCTCGTTATCTCTATATTTGGACACGTTGGCTCCTGCGGCTCTCCATTCTATGAAGGAAAGAGTGATTGCATATCATCCCTTTTGAAGAGTGTGTCATGTGTAATATTGATAGATATCAACTTTGCGACCATAAGCAAATCTTCCCTAGCCAATTATAAATCGAAGTTGACCCTAGTTGTACCCAATTTACAAATTATTCTCACACTCGCGCGAAAACAAATTCACATCCTCCTACATCTACAATCACAATCATAGTCACCCCTTGCATCTCTCTTTGGGCTTAGCTACGTGAAGAAAGGAAAGAGGACCTAATAACAATAGGAGATACCTACTGTGCGGAAGCAACATGTCTGTGCTTCTGTACCTGAGAAGAAGAAGATGAGAAGCTCGAATCTACATGAGAGCTGCGATTTATCGTCTTGTACATGCCTACCCTCACCTTCTGCAATGTTCAGAGCGGCAAACGTACTGTCATGTGCTCAAATCATAATAGTGTACAGTGCTGTATCCTTTCATATAGCAATCATAAGCGAAAGTGGGGAGAAAAAGAAAAGTAGAAGCTGTCATAGACCGGAAAGGAGCGTGTGACAAGTGCCAAGACGTACGCTTCATCATGATGTAAGAGTTGCTACAGGTCGTAAGCGGGGAGGAAGATGTGAGAGGTTCTTTCTATTCACGTGCGTAATCATGGAAGACCTAGGGCGGAGAAGAGATGCCCCTTTACAGTCTTGCCTAGGGTGAACATTTATAAAGTACTGCACTTGTGTCAAATCACAGCTTGTGGTTGGTGCGAGATATGTGTGGACACAAGGAAGTTGCAGACTTTTCAATACGTTTAATTTTTTTTTTCGTAACCTCCAACTTTAGCAAATGGATTGATCTTTCACAAACGAAGTCTATTTCTTTGTGAAGATATAGAAGAAAACCTTACAAGTTCATCCTACATGTTTATAAACATTACGTGACCTTAAGTCATAGTATGTGTTATTGCACACACCTATCTTGCTGAAGTCGTGGTCATATCATTCACCATTCGTGGATACCATCACCTTATAATATGTCCCTACACAACAGACCTTGATATCTTCATCCTTTTCTTTCGTCAGTTGCATCTAGAAGCATGTCATAGATTGAATCTTGTTATCTGAAAGCATTTGCCAATTTTGAATAGGGAAGCAGCCCCGTCATGGTGTTAGATGAGCAAAAAGTGATTGGCCAAAACTAAAGGTAGTCGGCTTCTTGCAGGGTCGCGCAACACATTAGCGACCAGAACGTCACGTACTTCTGAAATCGTGAAACGACGTTTTACACAGGGGCCAGTGAGGGTCCAGACCTGCGTTACTATTCTGTTACACACAATGTCATCAACCTTGCAGACATATATAGCCATAAGCTCTCGCACTTCATGCCAAAGTGTGGGTAACGTTTGGTGTGTGAGGGCATATATAGCAGGAAGAATCGATAAATCGGATTGTAGCATGACAGCCAAATCACATCAAACAAACTGTCCTCACCAGCTACGGATGGCAACTGCATCGCCAAGAGACCACTGTCACGTGCTCAAGTGAGAGTGCTGCGAAGATATGTTCTAAAATGGATGATTGCTGCACCCAAACACTGGATTGTCATGTACATAATATCTGGGAAACAAAGGGCAGGATTGTACCTGTACTCGACGCTCGAGAGTCCAAATATAGTACAGCGTCGTATCAATGTCCCTCCTGACGATTCTTCGCGTCTTGACCAACGGGAACTTCAACGTATCGAAGGAGCCACTGAATCGAGACGTACTCACGGGCTGTTAAGCAGTTCACTCACCTAGAGCTTCAATGGCCCACACTAAATATCGCGCATGTCGAAATGAAGCCTGACGCGAAAACTACGAAGTAGTAGTTGACCTCCGTCTCCTGGCTGCGAGAAAGAGCAACTCTGGGGATGATAGTGAGCGAAGGGAAGCTGTCACTGCAAGGTCAACCCGCAACAATCTCTGAATCCCCTCGCATGAAACGACGGCTCTCCTCACTGAAGCTCAGTGGCAGATCTGTGCATGTTTGCATTTGAAGGTTGGTGCATGAATCTGGCTCTCTCACCCCCACATATTAGAGTCTCGAAGCGTGGCGTTCTGTTCGAGATATAGAATCCGCTGGAAGGCTGTGGATTGTCCAACAAGTCGTGCGGCCCCGTCGTGACCCGATACATTGTATCCATGCTCAGCTCCCACATCAGCGTGGACTCTCGGTACAGGTGGAACTCATCCCCAGCTCCAACTGGTCCATTGTGGTCGGAAGGAACATAACCCTCTCGAGAAAGTTTTAGGACTCGATCTTTGTATTCAGTACCGCCTGGCCAAATGCCACCTTCGTCCGAGGATCCTGGATAAGCGCAACCCACTTGGTTTTCTGGAGACAAAAGCGATGCGGTTAAAGCTGAGCATTATTGTGATGTGTAAGGCTGCTCGTACTCATTTAAAATTTTCCTCAGGACAACAATCTAACATTTACCAGTATCTCAGGTTTCTTAATTATCCGATAGTCTGTGATCCGATCATTCCTTTGTGTGACGAGATTCAGAGTTACTGACCCTAAAAAAAGAATTACTGACAATAATTCTCGCCGATCTTCTTGGTATAGAGTATGTTCGATATAGCAACCTCTTTTATGCAACTGAAAACTGAGCTCAGCTCCTCTTGTGCTTAGCACATGAACTTGAAGGAATGTCCAGAAGCAAGGGATTATGGAAAGTGATCGTTACAACTCTGAAAGTTTAACTCTTACAATCAGCTGGACAGATGGTCGAAATGGTGCACTAAGCTACATGAGTGATCTTAAGTGGTGTGTACAAAATAAGAAGGAACTACGCTTCAAACCAAGTATACAACCAGGACTAGAGTTAGCGGTATACTAAACGCCTGATTTTTAATGTGTGTTGGTATAGTGTATTCTGCCCATGATAGGAATATTAAACTTATCCCTTAATTTTAGAGAGATTTGCTTGATGGGACCACTACGGAAAGTAATTTGCTTGATGGGACCCCTCAGGTTTAGTTTTACCGGATGGGACCCCAACGACAGTGTGCCGTCGGACATAGTTCTTGTAACTACGATTACTACTAGTTACAATGCGGGAATTACAATCAGAGATCAATCCCTGATTATAATTTCTGGTGGATTATCACGGGGACAAAGATTGATTTTGCTCGAAGTGCAATTTGTTGTGCTTCAATTCTTCCCACCGCAAAGATTCGCGGATTTCTCTGTTGCCTCCCACCTGCACACTCCTTCCGTAACCCTGCTCAAGTATCACGATCACCCCTTTGTGACGAACAAATAAACTCCGGATGAACATTTCTTTGCTCGTCTCCTTGGAGAGTGGCCGGATACAGAATGACAACATAAAAACAAGTGAGTGTGATGGAGCCCGAAGTCCACTCTGTCTGCGGTTGCGGTGGACACGATGCACTCTCTCTAGTTGTTATTAGAACATGGGTGACGGTGCATCGTTCATGGGGTCCCATCGGGTAGAATGAAACCTGAAGGGTCCCATCAAGCAAATTACTTTCCGCAGGGGTCCCATCAAGCAAATCTCTCCTTAATTTTATAAAGCCCTAGAAATCTACATTTTATGCTATGATTCAGTACATATGCATCTTTCAATCTCATTTATAAAAAATGTTAGAGTAGATTTGATTCGAATTGCTGGATGATAAATCCTTCATACTTTGAAGATGAATATTTACTCTATGACCGATGGCATAGATGTAAACTATATAAAAAAAATTTAAATACGTTTTTATACACTCAAGTTGAATACAATTCAATAGTTTGTACGCAGAGCTGATACCTCCCATACTTCACATTCAAAATAACTTTTAAGTCAATAGATGCAGCCAATGGCGTCTCGAATATTTCTGTATGTCTATTGAAAGTTTCAATCCTTTTGAATCCTCCATATTGTTATATATTTTTCAAAAATATATGGCCCACGCGAGTTTTGCCCATATAGTCTTTTCTACTAGTGTGAAAAGTAAAGAAGTCTAAATTAGAGTAGTGTATAGCAAGAGAGAATGGAGAGAGTCCACCTAATGGCGAAACCTGACTGACTTGGGATATACGTTTTGGTTCCATGATTCATCCATCTTGTTATTGAGCTGTCCGAAGCATCAAGAGTGAGACCAACTGCGAATGAAGAGTGAGATTCAATATCTCTATTTTGCATTTTCAAACAGAATTCCGGGAATTATTAATCTTGAAACACGTTAAGAGGAGGTCGGTGAAGAAAGGACGAGGACACTGCAACATCGTGTTAATGTTTGTTTTCATATTTTAAAGAGAAGAAGAAGCGAAGAATCTCATGAGTATAAACGTGTCCTTTTCCAAGGTTCAACCAGTATCTGTTTACGTGGCAAGATTTGAATTCCCGAAACGTAGGAGCTCTTCTCATTGGTGAGTATTGAGTGCTGTCGATGTCTAGTTTTCACAAAGGATTGGAGCACTCACTGGAATTGTCTTTATGCACTCACACGGTTAAAATGTAGGCGTAGATCCTTGCGGAGCCGAGAGTTTGGCATCAGCATTCCACGAGGATGTCCGTGTATTGCTCCGCATGATCTAGTGATCATCTTCCCGTATGCTTGGACTTCTTGGAGAACAAAAGGTGCACCGGTTTAGTGTACCAGGAAGAAATCCCCAAGGTCGTGGGAACCTCCCCTGTAAAGTGCCATGAAATTCCGTACCGACAAAAATGCTTGGGACGGCACACATGACACATTACATGTCACCTAATTTCAAGGAAAATTCGAATTTGTGAATTTGTCCGAATTTCAAAGGTCCACCTCTTTAGTCAATCACGACAAACCGGAAGTCCAGTCCGCAGTGGCTTCCTCTTTACGTTTCCCAGAGTTGACTCACTTAATTATGTGCACCGGAATCACATAGTTCTAGGCCTCTGAAACATTCAGGATCTGACCGATAATATGCTGGGGAGGAAAACAGAGTACTCTCCCCTATCTGATATGTGAAGCACTATTTATATCTATGCGTTTATTTTGGCTTTTTCATTATTTATTATATTTTACTGTTAAAGACATGTACCAATGTTGTAACAAAACGGATGTATGCTGATTACAAACTTCGAAACACATTTTGTGCATTTATCCACAAACGTTGTCGTTACCACCTTCTATTTTCGTCATCCACCAAGAGCAAAAATTAAACCGTGGCAAAGACAGTTAGTTTGATCATCTACAATCCTCAAGGTTATGACTATTAACTTCCCCTCTTATGATCATTGTTTATACTATCATAAAGAGATATCAAGTACTCTGAATTTTAATTAAACAGACTTTCTTTTACCCTATGGATGCAGTCTACTGAAAATTAGCATTTTTTGCCCTGTAGATAAAGTCTATTGGCAAATAAATTACTCGTGTATTGATGTTTCTTATACTTGCTTCCTGATGAAAATAATGGGGCCGAGAAATTGTCTATCACAAATCACTAGATTTTGATTTGAAAACTTGGATGTGTCCCATGATAGAGTTTCATTAGTTTAGTTTGGAAATTTACAGTAATTTATACAAATACGAAATTGTTTCAATTCATGAACCTCAAATATTGTCGATAGTATTTTTTTTAAACACTGATAATTCGTTTAGTGTGACTTCCACTGTCACACTTTTACATTCACTGTAACTTACACATAATGACTACTAAACTAAACACTTTCAAAAAACATTAGGCTTATGGAAATATCATCATTTCTTACAACTAAAGATTTCCAAAATTGTCAGTACATTTAAGTCTATTTACATCTCTTTATTTCTAGTACAATTTTTTTTTTTTTTTTTTATTTTGCTGCTGTCTCCTGATTTTGACTGCAAGCCTTGAACGATCGCATTCACTCTCATTTGCACAAAAACATGTTTGGAGTGATTTCATGTCAAATGCTATAAATAGCTTTGCAAATATCTTGACTTCTATCTTGATTTTTAAGTCTCATTGCGTTACATTCTTGATATATTTGCAACCATTTAGGAGATGTAAAGGGGTGAGTCGATTTCTTAAGACAAAGTGAACAAAGAATTTCAAACAAAGAGAAGAAACGTGAAAGTGAATGAATTCATTTGAGAAAGGTTGGATAAGATTGAAAGTGCAACAAGAAGAGTTATATGAGTTCAACAAATGACACAACATTTGATTGTGGCATTTTGAGTTTAGAGAGTTCAAAAAATACAGTAGCCTTCCACTTAAGTACGAATCTGTTTAGGTACGCATCCCAATTGAGTACACACTTTTTCAAACGATTTTCAGAGATCAACATTCTCAACGATTTCACCGTAAACATTAGAGATTTCAACATTTTTTACGATTTTATTGTAAATTTCAGTGATTTCAGTGTACAGTTCAAAAATTTCAATGTAACATATCGTAAATTGTAATCTGACGCATGTTCTGGTTTTTGTTGCGTCTAGTTTTGCGTACTACTACTCGTACTTTAGATTAAAATATTTCAAACAATTTTTTCAGATCGTCAAATGAATCCTGAGCTTCTATCTGAATTGCAAAACAGAGCAATTGCTACTCGATATCAAGAATATTCTTATACAAAGATTCAAATCTATGAAAATCCGTCCTATCCTGTGAATCTATAATCTCCTCGGCTAAATCAATATAGTTGTCATCAACATTTGCTACATCAATACTCATCAAATCAAACAATTCATTGACGTCTTTTAGCAATGCTGCAGCATATTCTTCATTGATTTTGTTATCAATGTTAACAAAATTTTCCAAATCTATTTCATCAATTGATAAATTTAAGTTGTTGATCGTTTCAGCTAACTCAATGACAATCAAACTTATTTCGCTTCGAACCCTTGGTTCGGGTTCCAAATTCATGAGCTCTGCATTGCAAAATGCATTTTTAATAAAACTTGACAAAACCAAATCCCAAGCTTCTTTCACATAGCTTGCAGCGTCCAACATATGTGCTGGATT